CTCTAGCCCAGGTAAAGGACACTGGTGGTCTTCCTCTGAGTCTTGATGTTGAAATCCCATGAACAGAGTTTTATCCTGTTCCATGGTTCTGTGGCCTTTGAAAGGACACTGGTGGTCGTTGTCTAAATATTTATGCTGAAATTCCACGAAGAGTTCTGTCTTGTTTCCTGGTTCTATGCCTTTGACTTGGCAGTTTTCTCCATGCAGTGCATCTCCTTTCCCTCCCCTTGCCATTCACCTGGCCAGCCCTTGCTCTTCTTCCCAACACAGCCCAAACATCTGCCTCTCTGTTTCCTCCTTTCAGCCCGGCCTCCACAATAGAATCGGCCATCTATTCCTTATGCTCTTCTCCAGCCTACTTAGTACATATCTCTAATTTTATACTTACTGCTCTTTTAAAAATTGATTTTAGACAGAAGAAGGAGAGAGAGAGAAAGTGTGTGTGTGTGTGTGTGAGAGAGAGAGAGAGAGAGAAAAGAGAGAGAGAGAGAGGTAAGAGAGAGACATCAATCAGTTGCTTTCTGCACATGGTCCAACCAACCCAAAATCTAGGTATGTGCCCTGCCTGACCAGGAATTGAGCCCACCACCTTTTGGTGCATAGGATTATGCTCCAACCAACTGAGCCACACGGACTGCACTTACTATTCTTTATTGCAGTTATTTGTTCCAGATATATAGGGTGTTCCTAAAAGTGTGTACACACTTTGAATGATTATAAAGTTAGTGTTTATTAACATACAGTTCATTTTCAAAACTTAAAAGAATCTACAGAAATGAATAATTTATTTTTTGTCAACACCAGTTTTCAAAACCATGGCCATTCTGGTCCAGGCACTGCTGATAACACAAAGCAATGGAATCACAAATGTCAAGAATCATTGCATTTGGTATTTGTGTGCCCTTAATTTGTCAACTGCTTCCAGTTTTATAATGTAAACTTTATGTATCCCCATAAAAAAGTCTAGTGGATAAATTTCCTTTGTTCAAAGCTTCGTCTGGCTTCACCCATTATTTCAAATCAGTTGAACCTTAAAAGGAATGAAATTAAGTGAGTTATCAGCTTTGAATAATTATAAAGGCAGTGTTTTTACTTCAATTGAGTTTCAAACTTCCAGTAGCATTTTATGATGAACTAGAGGCCTGGTGCACGAATTCGTGCAATAGTGGGGTCTCTCCAGGGGGAGGAGCCGGCTCCTGGGAGGACTCCTGCCCATTTCGCTCCCAACAGCAGCAAGCTAACCTACTGTTTGGAACGTCTGCCCCCTGGTGGTCAGTGCATGTCATAGCCAGTGGTTGAGCAGCCTTAGCATATCATTAGCTTATTACGCTTTGATTGGCTGAATGGATGACCAGACTCTTAGCATATTAGGCTTTTATTATTTAGGATTTCCTTTGTTCAAAGCTTAGTCTGGCTGAAAAGAAAGAAACATTAATTGAGCTATCAGCTGTTAAAGTGTGTATACATGTTTTTGGGACACTCTGTATATTTGCTTATTTTTGTACTATTTTCTTAGCATGGTTTTTGGAAATGGGGTGTGATAAATAGTAGGTATTCAAAATGTCTGTTAGATGGGTGGATGAATGTATTGAGGGATTGATGGTCATGGATGGGTGGATGGATGGATGGCACTTCTGGTGAATATCTATCAACACACTCTACCACCAAACATTCATTCCGCTCATTGGTGTGCCAGAAAATGTGATAGAGCCAAAAATAACCATGGGGGACAAAACCAAAATAGTTAACTTGGAAATAGCTTAATTTAGACCCCAGTTAGTACTTTGAAAGCTGGCTGATAATGAGGAACTTGACCAAATTCCCAATCCATGCAAATTGTCTTCTCAAGGGTCTCAGTAAGAGAGTGTGAAGTGGAACACTCCTTAAATGTGCTGCCTGGACCGCATCCATTCAGTTCATCAAATACAGCCAGGAAGCAGCAAAGGATAAAACGACGACAACAACAAAACCCCAGCTCTGATTATCGAGATAATGAATGTTTTTTTTAACCGTAAACAAAAATGTTGAAGTTGTCTTTAAATGCAAAGAAGCATTTTCACTTCTGCTTCTATTGGCAACACATCTGAGTGCATCATACCTCCCCTTAAAACCTTTCATGAATCCCCACAGCCTTCTGAACAAAATCCAAACCCTCAGGGTGTCATCCAAGGTCCCTTATGATCTGGTTTCAGAGATTCTCTCCAGACAAATCCCATGGCCTGTCAGTCTTCCTAAGCTAGTTTCTACTTCCTCTCGCATATGTCACTCCCTGTGTTGATTTTTCTTTACTTAAGATTATTCCCCTGCTCAGAATTCTTTTATCCTGACTTTCCTCAATCCCTTCACGCCTCATGGATTCCCCAAGAATCTGTCCCTAAATCCCTGAGGTTGAGTTAGGGGTCATTCTCCATGTTCTCACAACTTCTCACACTTACTGTCCATCAGTACACAAGCGACATTCTAGTGCGATTATTGTTTATGTATTTGTGTCACTGAATTATAAGAATGTAGGCACTGTGTTTTTTATTTCTTATCTATAGGACTCACCATAAGGCCTGACACATAGTAGACATTCAGTAAATAGTTGTTGAATCAATAAATGTTCTTACTAGAAAATGATCTGAGATGCCGCAAATGTACCAAATAAAAGTGATTACTCTGCTGCTGCTTCTAAAATAGCAGTGCTTTATGCTAAAACCAGTATTTTTGTTAAAAATGGAAAGTGTTTGCATAACTTTGGAGACTACAAAGATACACAAAAGAAAATAAAAAGTACCTATAAAATTTCCATGCACAGACAAGCCCTATCTTTATCCTCTTTTCTGCTTGATTAACGTTAAATACTGCGCATTTTTCCATGCCATTAACTTATCTTTAAAAACATGATTTTTCCTTTTTATTTATTTGAAATTTGTCCTTATTGTTGAAAGTATTACAGATGTTCACCCTTTTTTCCTGACCTCCTACACCCCGCACGCCCCCCGCCCCCATGACCCTTCTAGCGCATTGAATGGATACACAGTCCTTGTTCTTTGACTTTGCCCAGTTTCTTCATCTTGCCATTGGAGAACTGATTCTCTCTCCCCCCACCACCCTCGCCACACACAACACAGCCAGATCTTCCGCAGACGGCCTAGGGCAGACAGTTAGGTCGATCCGTCTTTGTGGAATTTTTCTGTAGTCTAGTATTCCTCTTTAATATTTTACGACTTTATCTACTTTTAGTGTCAAAAGAATATAGACCAAGAGAATGCTATGACTTTGAGATACTGTGCCTGTCTGGGAAGTCTTTGAATGCTTCAATCCAACATACTTTATTCATTGAGTGTCTGCTTAGTGGTGTGTTTTTGTGGAAGTCTTTGCCAACATCACATTTTTTCTCAAGTTGCAAGAAAATGTGAACCTTTGGGGACTCCCAACCCAAAGGCTGGGAGAGGAGCCCTGCCTTGCCTCCCCACCTGCGTCACCCTTACTGCAGGCGAGGTGGCTTTGAGGTGTGGTGGCGATAAGAGTGTTGTAAGACAGACAGATGCCACCTGCAATGAAAATACCTATGCCAAAAGCTGACTGCAGAGATATTATATAAGAAAGATACTGAGGCGTTGTCCTTAATAACCCATTTCCTTTGCCCTCACATCTAATCCATTACCAACTACCTCCACTTGGTCCTATTGGTTGCTGCTCCTACTCTCCCTTCTCTTTCTTCAGGGCCACAACAGGACCAAAGCCAACATCAAATCTAACGTGGCTACTAAGTACACAGTAACCAAGCCCTCTCCATGCACTCTGGTCCCTTGAAATCCACTCTGTACACAGCCTTCGAGTCATGTTATACAAGCAAAGTCCGATTATATCACCTTCCTATTAAAACTTTCATTGTCTTCCATTATTTTAAGACCAGATGGAACGCCTTAACAAGGCCTGAAAAGCTTTGCATTGTTTGCATCATCTCAGTCGCCCCACATCCTGCATTTTCCTGTCTCTCTCAGCTTCATCCTCACAGGTTTACATTCAATCCTTCGTATGCACTACCACAGGGCTCTTGCACATGATGTTCCCTTTGCCTGGAACATGCTTACATCTTTTCCAGTTAATGCTGACTCATCCTTCAGGGCCAGCTGCTCTTCCTTACAGAAGTCTTATCTGATGGACTTGTTTCCCTTTCACCTAGCATGCCCATCTTGCCATTGTAACACTGACATAGATCTGTAATTACTCAATTAATGCCTATACTTTCCCTTAGACCAGTGGTTGGCAAACTCATTAGTCAACAGAGCCAAATATCAACAGTACAACGATTGAAATTTCTTTTGAGAGCCAAATTTTTAAAATTTAAACTATATAGGTAGGTACATTGTTATTAACTTAATTAGGGTACTCCTAAGGCTCAGGAAGAGCCACACTCAAGGGGCCAAAGAGCTGCATGTGGCTCGCGAGCCGCAGTTTGCCGACCACAGCCTTAGACTATCAGCTTCATGAGGAGAGTGATCATGTCTGTTTCCTTATTTATTCCCAGCCAATTAGCTATGTGCTATCCTGGCACGTAGCAAATGTTTAATAACTATTAGTTGAATGAATAATGAATGGAGGGGAAATTATGTCTTTGAAGTTGTGGGTCATGTGGTTTATGAGTTTCCTTTAGGGAAGCTTGTTAAAACACGATAGAACATGCTTTCGGATCCTTTTTTAAGGTCATTTGAACAAGGTATATGGATCTGGCAGGACAGAAAGACTCCATTCATGTGCTAATTACAGTCAGTCACTAAAGCCTGTACAGGAGTGGGCATTCTGAGAATGAGTATAGGTTCGTGGAAAAGCACCTGGTCGGGGCAGTGCCGGCATGCATACTAATCCTTCCACACATGGAGGCTGCTTGAGATGGGGATGGCGTCGTGAGTGTGCGCTTTTTCACTGTTACCTTGATGGTGGCATCCACTCATTGGTTTCACACCTGTCTTCTTCTTCCCTTACAAACATTCTTTCTCTCTTCCTCTTTCTAGATTTATGGTCAATGTGACATGGGATGGCAAAGACCTGTCCTTCACTGAGGAGGGCTACCAGGTGCACCCCAGGCTGGTGGTGATTGTGCTGAACAAGGACCGAGAGTGGGAAAAGGTGAGTGTTCTGTGTGCTGAACGCGGGGGAGGGAAGAGAGCCTGGGAAACCAAGGGCTTGAATTACTTCTTTTCCCAAGTCGCTTCCCGTTGAGCTGCTCCAGATCCCATCCCAAGCAACTGCGTTTGGAACAAGGCAGCCAAATATTGTAAGATGCAATGTTTGCTTCCTCCGGCTACACTGTTAATTGTGTGCTGCTCTCTCTGCGGGGTCTCAGCCCTCAGGAGGAAGGGTCCTTGAAGGACTTAGGATAGTTTCAAGGCGGCGAGATTTTGTTCACATCATTGCAGTAGCAGATGTTAACTCTATAGCAGTGATCACACCAGTTTGCCTAAACCTTATAATTGTGTTTCATGTTGACACATTGAAGCATCTGGACGAAACCCTTATATTTTCATTTACTTAGTCTTTTATTTTAAATCAACTAATTTCCAAAATTTAAGTGTGCCGCGTCTATAAAGCATAGGTTGAAAAGGAAGGTTATATTGTTTGTAAAGCACATTTTCTAGTACATATATATTAACTATAAAAAAATCACCGTGCAGAGAAACAACCATCTCACATACCGTCTAAACCACGTCCTGAGCCAGAGGCGGGGGACTTCGCAGGGATTTTCGGTTGATGTCATGCAATGACAATATCTGTCCCGGTTGCACTCTCTCTTTCCCCCTAATTGAACTCTCAAATTAGTCACCACAATATCATACGAAGAATGAAATAAAAGAGACTGAAAAGGAAGGCTACATTGTTGTCTTTTTTGACAAGCAATGCATGACCCCAAATTACTTCAGCAGCTTTATCTCCAATTTGCTCATCAGATGGAGACCTGAGAGACTCTAGGGGACCAGGACAATACCGGGTGTAGTGTGGGTACCATGCTATAGTTAACAAGGTCAGAAGAAAATACTGTACAACCATAGCATTGACTTTGGCGGGGTGGGGTAGGGGTTAAGGACAGATTCCCAGAAGGGAATGATGAAACTTTGGAAGACTTTGACTACTACATAGGGCAGCTACAAAACACACATTCCAGCTAGTGTACTTGGAAAATTCACCAACTAGACCAATCCTACATAAGACAAGTTTAAATATATTTTAAAAGATTGAAATAATCCAGAATGCATTTTTTTGACCACCACAGCATTAAAATAAAAATTATTAACAAAAATATATCTAGAAAATCAATAGATGTTTGGAAATTAGGGAACACTCTTCTAAATAATCTACGCATCAAAGAAGAATTCAAAAAGACATTAGAAAGTATTTTTGATGGAATGACAATGAAAATACAACATATCAAAATTTGAACAATAAAGTTGTTGTGCTAAGAGAGAAATTCATAGCTTTAAATGTTTATAATAAAAAAAGGAAAATGAAAAGTCAGTGATTTAAGCTTCTTCATTAAGAAGCTAGAAAAACAAGAGTAAACACTAATGAAGTAGAAGGAAGGAAATAATAAACATAAGAGTAAAAATTGACAAAGTAGAGCACAATATGGAGACATAATCTAACAAAGCCAAAAGTGAGTTCTTTGAAAAGATTAAGAAAATTCATAATTCCTAGCAAGAATGATCATACAAAAAAGGGAAAACATAAGTACTAAAAACCAATACTAAAAATGCAAGAGGGGATATCATCACAGACATTACATATCCCACAGACATTAAAATTATTTTTACTTTTTAAAAAATATATTTATATTTATTTCAGAGAGAGAAAGGGGGGAGGGAGAGAGAGAGAGAGAGAGAGAGAGAAACACCAATGATGAGAAAGAATCATTGATTGGCTGCCTCCTGCACACCCCCTATTGGGATTGAGCCTGCAACCTGGGCATGTGCACTTACTGGGAATTGAACCCTGACATCCTTGTTCATAGGTCAATGGTCAACCACTGAGCAACACTGGCCAGGCAACATTAAAATTATGAAAATGTTATGCCAACAAATATGTCAATGTAGATAAATGGGCAAATTACTTGAAAAACCCATAATTTTCCAATATAGACACAAAAAGAAATGGACAATCTGAATAGCTCTAAATTTGCTAAGAAATTTAATTCATAACTAAAGACCAGCCCATTTAAACAACAAGAAAAACAAACAAACCCTGGCCTAGATGGCTTCACTGTGAATTCTACTAAGATTTTAAAAAGGAGTAACACCAAACTACACAGTTTTTCAACATATTAGTAGTCATAATGCAGCAATATATTAAAAAGGATACTTATTGTGGATAAGTGAAATTTACCTTAAGAATGCAAGCTTGGTGAAGAAAACCAAGATGGCGACATAGGTTAACGCCGGAGATTGCTGCCTCGAACAACCAATTCAAATTACACCTAAAAGACGGAACGGACATCATCCAGAACCACAGGAAGGCTGGCTGAGTGGAAATTCTACAACT